TATTAGATTGAACAGCCCATATATTACACATTCAACAGATGCCAAAGAAATCATAGCACCATTAAAAAGCAAACTCTAGCTCTGTTGTTTGCATTGAGAAACCTTTTAGATCTGCCTGTCTAATGCAAGTACCCTTAAACTAGCATTGTGATATTTTGCTTTTCTGTGGTATATATACTTTGATATGAATATAATTTTCCAGATGATTGAATAGCTCTATTTGGGAAGATTTCATTCATTTAGAACAACTGGCATGATCAAGTTTTTTTCTATGCAATGCTTCTGCATAAAATATAATGAATTCTGGGAATTTTCTGAGGAGTGTATTTGTATTCAAGTACAGAAACTAACAAATGTAAAATAACATGGTCATCATCAAAAATAGAAAATAGATAAATTACAAATACAATTGTATTCGTAATTGTTCCTTAACTCCCATTATTGACACTGGAATTTAATCCAGTGTGTCCAAGCCTCAGTATAATTAATATAACTTCTTCCTTTCTGTTCATACCATACACATTTCTTTTTGTCTCTACTATTTTTATTTTATTTTATATAGATGCGTCCCTTCTTATCTCTATCCCAGATTCCTTGCCATTTTTTTTTAAATATTTTCTTCAATAATAGGTTTCATTTCTATTTTCCCTCTGGCTCCTCCTACCTGTTTAAGCTGGCAGGTAGCTGATAATTACTCACAGCTGTGTCTGCTTGCCAATCAAGACACCAGCAGCATAAAAGCAGAGGAGAACGTGCCAGTGTTTGAGAAGTGTTTATGCAAGACGTCTCTCTAGAGCAGTTCAGTTGGCCTACAAAACGATTTATTAGTAGTGTTCTACTAGATTTTAGCTTTGGATCAAGCACAGACATTTAGGTAGGTTAGTGTTTGTTTTTATTTGCGTGTGCGTCTTTATTAACATTTAAAATTAAGTATGAAGATTTATCATTTTGACTTTAACCCCTGCCCCAAATAATAGGGAGGTAGCTACTTCAGTTTTGTTTGTTGAATGTTTTCTACTGCTTTGAGGATAGAAAGGGATTTAAAGTGTCAATTTGAAAGTCCCCATTATTATTTTTTATTTATTTAGAGCTGAGGTGTCAAACACCTGCACCGTTTAGTTTCAAACCAGCTCCAACATGCTTGCCTGTAGGTTTCAAACAAGCCTAAAGAACTCTGATAGTTTGAACAGGTGTGTCTAATTAGGGTTGGATCTTAACTGTTCAATGCTCTGGTTCTCCAGGAGCTTACTTTGACACCTTGATTTAGGTGTGTGTTTTTTATTTTTTGACCCCTCAAGCTATTTTTTTGGTCAGTTACCCTTATCTGTTCCACACATTTAATAAGATAAAAATGAGTTCTTTAAAAAAAGAAACTTATGAGAACTGAGAAATATTAATACCGTGGATAAACCATTTGCAAACACCACTGTTTGAATGCTTTAAGACTAAGCAGAATCCACTCGCTCATGAATTTGGGAAATAAAAAGGTTTAGTTAGTCAAGGTTTTGGAACATTTATATACTACTTGAAAGCTAATGATATTTGGGTAAAATTTATTTAATGAGTTCATGCTAAAGTGATGTTTTCACGAAAGTATGACCTTTTATGTACAAGGATGCAATGATGATTTCTCTTAATCTATTGAAATAAATTGCAACAACAGCTGTGGGTTACTACAAAAAGTCAATGTCATGTGGCCTTGACTAAATATAGATTAACATGCTGTTCACAAGTCAACATATCTGATGTCTCATGGTATTGAGTGGCACTCATGTCATTGGGGTGGAGGGCTGTAAGACCCTACACTGTAGCAACTCCACCAATCCCAGGTTATCTGAAATTGAGGGAAAGTTGGTTTTATATTCGCACATTTGTTCATTTAACTGTATATTGTTTACATCACTATCTAATTGACTGTAAACAATGCTGTACTTTTGAAAATCATTGGATGTTATATGATTTCACAATTTAGAATTTCTAAATACTACCTTTCTGAAATTATATTATTAAGGAGAATGTCTGAATATTTGAATATAAAACCAACTTTAAATCTATTCTGAAATTTAGGTATGGATAAGGTGCAGGCTGACTCCATTTGCAGTACACTAGCCTTCAGCAACCTTTCCCTACTGTGGCCTTGATAAGCTGGAGTATTGTGGTCTACGAAGATGGAATTAAGCCTATGTTCATTTTCATCTTGGTTTCATATCATATTTGAACAGCATGATAGAGGATGGGTAAAATAATTCTTGAGCCAGAAAATGTAATGGTCAATTTATAGATCAAACACCAGTTGGGAACTTTGCCGTCGTTAGAGACCAGAAAACTATGCAAAAAGTACTGAAACATTGAAGATACACATGCACATTCTAAAGTGTTTCACCTGGAGAGGTTATAGTGCATTTTTTAGGCTCGCATCCTGAAATTTCACCCAACAGCTGAACAACTTTTAGTGAGCAGCTTTCATGATTTTGTACTTATTTTTTAGTTGTTAATGTAAATAAGAAATCTCGAAGTGAAATGATGTTGGTCAATATGAATAAACATCGAGATTAAATTTTTTTTAATTCACAATTCGGTTGCTGCTAAATGGGGAAAACTTCATAAAATTTAAGTAATTAGCGTTCTTTGACGTCATTATCAATATACAAATTGACTATATATATATATATATATATATATATAATATATAAGCTGAGTGCAGATCAAATAGTAAGTTGTAGAGGCTTAAGACCTTAAAGGATAGTAATAAAAAGTATAAAATCACTATAGTATAGAACAGGGTTCATACACATTTTTACTACTAAAATTCCATGACTATTCCAGAACCTTCAAGTACATTTTCATGACGTAATGTTTCATGTCTACTTAGTAAATAATAAGAAAAACAATGACGTACTAAGTTATTACAGCATATCATAGAACATGCAACAATCTATGTTGTTTTAATTTGTTTTTATATCTATGTACAATTGATTTTGATAATGCTTACAGAGCACTAACAATGTGAGAGCAAGTTTTTGGCCAAGGACAGAAAAGAAGTAAAGACAACTAACTAATATTCAAGTTAGGGCTGCACAATGTATCGTTTCACCATCAATGTGTGTATCCACAATAGTCACATCCCAGGATATGCATTGTTAGGATTTTAGGTAATATAGAGTTTAATCATAATAGAGTAAAAGTTTTTTTTATCATGCATGCATTTTTAGAGATATTTCACACAAAAATTACTTACCTTTTTCATTACACCCTTCACTTGTTTCAATTGTTTTATTTAAATAAGCGCAAACAGTATAATTTAATAACTTCTATAGTATTGAAATAAGTGAAGTGTGAGTAAATAGTGAGTACATTTTAAGCTTTGAGTAGATTAAAGCCCTGTGACTGTGAACATTTCAATATTTCAAATTTTAAAACATCCGGCCACAAGAAAAATGTGTAACTTTAATAAAGATGAAATAATATACAGTAAAGACTATGCAGTGTTGATTATTCGATATCTCTACCTGAAAACTGTAATTCACTTTTATTTTACTATATTTTATTTATGTATGCTTGTCATTTATTTGTTATATATTATTCCAGATTAACTCCTCTACAAAATCCCCCCAATCAATCCAAATAAACCTGTTAAATCATCTGGTGAAATTGTAGTCATACATATCTCAATATATACCACAGAAATATTAAATATGGAATTGTTACATTTTTCCAATACTTAAAGTATACAGATACTTGTTAAACTAATTTCCATCACTTTGCCAAAACTTTGTGGGTTTTTCTGTTTTTCCAAAACTTTTTCCAGGCCTGGAAAATGCCATGTCAAAATTCCATGCCTTTCCAGGTTTTCCATGACCGTAAGAACCCTGATAGATTACACAGAAGTGTTGAATCTGGTTTTCAACATAGTGAAAATTTTGGGATATTTAGATATTTATTTTTTATAAACATGAGCAATTCCATGCAAATATCAACCTTGCCATGAAAAAAAGGTCACACTTTACAATAAGGTTCATTAGTTAATGTTAATTAATTCATTTACTAACATGAACAAACAATGAACAACACATTTACTACAGTATTTATTCATGTTAATAAACGTTAGTTAATGAAAATACAGTAGTTCATGTTAACTCACGGTGCATTAACTAATGTTAACAAGCATAAACTTAAATGTTAATAATGCATTAGTAAATGTTCAAATATGATTAATAAATGCTGTTCATGTGTTGTTCATGATTAATTCATGTTAGTAAATGCATTAACTAATGAACCTTATTGTAAAGTGTTACCAAAAAAAAAAAAATCTAGTTTACCAAAATAGCGAAAACTTTTCAAATTTTTTTTTTTTTTTTGTGCGTATAGGCTTGTATCGTACAGGACTATAAAACACTTAAAAATCCCTCTGTCAAAGTTTTCAAACAATTATTTTTGAAATACTTTGGAAGTATTTTTGAAGTCCAACAAGTGGCAATTTCACATCTATCACATTTATACCCCATATTTTCCCTCCTAAATGCAAAATAATAAATAAAATAAATCATGTTTGTTCTTCAGTGAGCCAGCTCTTATCCTTTTGATTAGCATCATTTACTAAATACATAAAAAAGAAGTTGTTATTCACAATTTGCTGCTTAATGGGGAAAAAACACGTTAAAATTAAAGTAATTTAAAGCAATTAGCAATTAAAATAAAGTAATTAGCATTCTTAACTTTGACCTCATTATTACGATTTTCTTTACCATTAATTAGATGTGATACAGAAATTCACTTAAACATTTATTAAAACCCCAAAAGTCCAATCATTATACTAGAATTCACACCTTTTAGATTTATTGAATTTCACTATGTAATCACAAGTAAAATTGTGAGTCTTGTTTTGTGTCACATCTGAAGAATAAGTGACTTACACACTGGACTACCGAATCTGTTATTATTATTTTTTTCATCTATTTTTGATTTGATGGCTAAAAGTTCTTCTGTTTTGTCATCCACAGGTCTAAAGAACTAATCAAAGAGGCCATTCTTGACAACGACTTTATGAAGAACCTGGAGCTGTCTCAGATCCAGGAGATTGTAGACTGCATGTACCCTGTGGAGTATGATAAAGAGAGCTGTATCATCAAAGAAGGTGACGTGGGCTCCCTGGTCTATGTCATGGAAGGTAGGTCATGTCAAAGTATCCCTGCTGTTTGTTTACTTTGGTGTGTTTTTACTAGGGTTACAGATGATTTGCAGATGAGGCAGTAAGCTGCTATTGTGATTTTATCATGGGAAAATTCTTTGGCATGACTATGTGTTCTTTGGCTCCACTTGTGTAAAACTGAGTGCAGGCCAAAGTCGTAGAGGCTTGAGACTTTGAAAGATGGTGGTAAAATCAGCTTTTTATTTGCAGCTTTGTCTTGAAGTATATTGTGTCAATCTGTTTGTGGAATACAAATGCATGTATTGAGTCCTGTTTCCAGCATGGTGACATTTTAGGATGTTCAGATTTTTTTTATTATTATAAAAATGAGCAATTCTATGCAAATGTCAACCTTGCCATGAAAAAAAATCAAGTGTTCACCAAAATAGCGAAACCCTTTCTAGGTTTTTTGTATAGACTTGTATTTTAAAGTTCTGTAAAACACTCAAATGTCTCTGTCAATGTTTTTAAACTAATATATTTGCTAAAATATATTAGCAAATATATTAGTTGTCCCAAGCTGCAATATAAATGGCAGCTTATCCCACAAGCTGCAATTTCACACCTGACACATCCATATAATAGAGAGATCTAACATCCATAATGAAGCTTTTTCCTCATCAATGCAAAAATAATAAATAAAATACAATCATTCATGTTTGTTCTATAGTGAGCCAACTATTATTCTTTTGATTAGCATTAATTATTTTGGGTTGAGCAGTTTAATTTTCAGAATTTCTACAAAGTATGTTGTATAAGGTAAACTCGCAAACTTTTTTTGGTCACATCCACAACATGTTTATTTACCTCATTTTAATATATTTTTAAAAAATGATCCCGTAACTCTGTGGTTAGTTGTTTTGGAAAATATAAACAGATGTTTCAATATTGTTAACATAGTATACTTTTTCTGTGCATTTATGCTTTTAAGTTTGTACTGCAAATAAAATTGCTCACATGAGTTTGCAGACTATAGTCCTTAGTTTTTCACCCACTCAAAGCTAAACAAGTGCAAAAAGATTCACTTGTGTCCAGACGTTAAAAGTTCCAAAATTAGAAGTATTTTTTTGGCCAAAATATTACAGTAATTTTTCAATGTATTGTGATAATTTTACTTGCCTCTATAAAGACTGCTGCTATAAAGTATATTACATTTTAAAATTCTATCAAAATTAACTTTATAAGTCACATTAATTTAAAGATACTTAAAGGGGTGGTCCACTATGATATCATATTTTAAACTTTAGTTGATATGTAATGTAGCTGTGTGAACATAAACAACATCTCTGAATGTAAAAAGTTCTAAGTTCAATGCTAAGGGAGAACTTGGTTTTTACTGAGTTAGCTTACCAATGCCTACAATAAATTAATTCTGGGGACTACAAAAAATACTTCCGCCCCCTGTGAGATCACAAAGGTTCGTTTACTGCACATACAAACTGTACAGCTAAGGGCTGTGGCCAGAGGCGCTGTAACGTTATAGCAGATATATATATATATATAT